GGTACTCTTTATTCCTTTCACTACCAGGTAAAACCCTTTTTATTTACTCAGTATTTTAGTAGCTAAAACGTATTTATCTTTCATTTTTGTATTGTATGCTGCTATGCCTCTCGAGCAAGCTGCTTGCAGTTGCTGGGGGTGTGCTGGGCTTGGTGGGTATATTGTGGGTTTAATTTTTTTACCTGATGTATTAGCTTTGTGAGTTTACCTGGTCTCAGTTATTGGTGTTCTGCAAATCACCCAGGGAGCTGTCCAGGCTGATGGACAGTATACACATGCTCAAATAAAGAAAGAAGTGTCTGAGCCTACGTAATCTTGGAAGCTGAGCAGGATTGGGCCTGGTTGGAATCTGGATGGGTGACTTAAACGTGAACCACCCAGAGAGCTTTGGCCACAGGCAGTATAGAAATGTGACATAACAGTGTTCTTACTTGTGTTTTCTACCAGTTTATTTGAAATGGATGTTAAGTTAACAGGCATGTGGCTTGTTGGTTTTCCCTGAGAGATGGAAGAAAGGGGACTTGCTGCTTCTGGGCGTGTCTGGTTCCGTTGACCATTTGTTTTCGTTTTCATGTTCCCAGTTACTTGCCTGTGACTATGTGTCTTGCCAGCCATGAGCTGCCTTCTTTACCAGAGGCGGCATGTCTACTGACCCCAGTTGCTGAGGACGTGTACCCCTCCGGCTTGAGGGACTCTGTGGGCAGCTGGCTTGCCTCCATGTCTGTGGAGTGCTGGCCTAGACGGACCTTTGGTCTGATCCAGCAGGGCTAGACTTATGTTCTTAGGACTGCCTGTATTCTCTGGGGCAAGGGAGAATGAGTAGATTGCGTGGAGGTGGCCAGTGAGCTGCCTTTGAACAACCTTGTTCCTGCTTCTACCTGCCACAGATTCCAGGTGCTCCTTTCACTTCTAGGACTTCTCCTACTGTTTACTTGAGCAGCATTTTGAGCAAACAGTAGAACCAGATTCTGTTTCAGAACATGGGAAAAGCCCTTCTGGATCAGACTGATCTAGTTCTGCATTCTGTTTCTCACAGTGGCCAACCGGAAGCCCCAGGTGAACCCCATGAGTCAGTCATAGTGCTCTGCACCTGGCAGTTACAGAGCCTCTAACTCTCTTCCTAGAGATTGTATAGAACCGTCAAGAACAGTGGCCAGCGATAGCCTCTTTTTCCTCCATGAATTGACCTAATCCCATTTGAAAGACAACTGAGTTGGTCGTCCTCACAATGCTCCTTTTTCTGGTTGTGAATTTGTTCATTCCATTATGTGTTTTTCCAGACAGCTGCTTCTTTCAGTGTTGCTTCCTCAAGCCGTTGGGCGGCGCTTCGTTCACCTTGGAGGCTGAGCAGGGGCTGGTAGCTCCGGCAGTGTGACGCTCACATGGGCCACACACATGAGGTTGTCGTGCAGCACTGCTCTTGAGGAGGATGGTCCCCAGTTTTCCTGCTGCAGGAGGGGCCCCTCTCTGCTTCCCTCAGGCTCCTGTCCCAGCTGGCTGGTACTTCCCACTGTGCTAAAGGGAGGGGCTGGCTTCTGATGTTTCGGGGCCTCTTTGGTCGGGGAGGGAATGTTACAGTCCTCAGGATTGTTCAGCTTGGGCGATAGGTGAACTCCAAATCCTTAGCCTTTGTGTGTGTGCTGTTTGGGGGCAGAAGATTTGCCCTCGGGATGGAAGAGGTTGGCCATCCTTTGCTTCCCTCCAGGGCCTTGGTGCTCAGCCTTTGAACACTGGCACTCTTACTACTCCCAAATTCTCCCCGAACCTGCTCTTCACTTCGTTGCTCTGAGGTCCTCACATGAATCACGCTTGCCTTCCTGCCGCCAGAGATAAGTAACAAGGAAAGAAAGGCGCGTTATCAGGATTGCTGGGTCTGTGCAGGCACATGGGACCGCCCCCTTTGGCCCAGCATCCCCTGTTGCCCTCGCGGCCACAAGGGGCGCACACTCCTGCCTGCCTTAATCAGGGGGACATCGTGCAATCCAGCCGGTTTCTTGGAGACTTCAAGGGCCCAAAAAGAAGTTACTGACTCTTGTTCTGTTCTTCTCATTGGTGTGGCCTTTCTGTGTTCATCCTATGGGAATAAGCATTGGAAGCCCATGACTCTCCTCATAGCTCCTGCTAATTTCATTGTGTCAGGATGTGGCACTAGCTAGTTGCGGATGACAGCGTGTGCCCAGCGCAGCGGTGCCCTTGCCCAGACCAGGAGAAGCAGCCCTCGCAGTCCAGCTGTGGCTTGTGAAACAAGCTGGAGGGGACATTTGGCAAGAGAAAGCTGCTGCCTTACGAGGGCTTCCTGGCAGCAGTTCGGAAGGGGCGGGTGATCCTTCGCATCGCCACCACCTGCTGCTGCTAGTGATTTTTAACCAGAGATGGTGAGGGTGGAACTTGGGGCTTTCTGGTTGCAAAGCATGGGAATGAAGAGCCTGCCAGGAGTGGTCCATCTCTGACTCCCAAGTTTTTGTAAGAAATATGTAGCAGGAGGGCTGTTGTCTTCCTCCCGCCCTCCTGGCAGGGTTCTGGAGACATCTGGCTAGCCGCGAATGTCTGCCCCTTGATGTTTTGAGATGAGGAACAAAACAGGCAATAAAAGCCTGTTTATTCAGACATAAAGATGTCCTGATATTTGGGATAAAATGCCGTGGCAATCTGCAAGAAATGATTGGGTCTAATAAGAATACGGAAATAAGAATTTTAGGATGTTTAGGTTTCCAGTTTTCTCAGAAGAGCTGAAGTCTCAGTTGCTTCCCTCTGTTGTTGCTGTTTCATCTGTTCTCTGTTTAGTTCTCTGCATTTTATCTCTGGTTTGCTACAGATCTTCCTCCTCGGTTTCCGAGATTCATGTTGCGTATCTCCTCCTCCAACTATCGCAGAGATTGGCCTTAGTCCAAGTAGGTGGCCCGGGCCAAACGGCTAAAGGCAGCTGCGAGGCGGCAGGCCCTGTCCTGTCCTGTCCTGTCCTTGCTGCAAGTGCCTCTGATGGCAGTGCAAGGGAAGAAAGCTGCAGCGTGGACAGGAAGGACCAAGTGGTGTGGCCGTCCTGGCACCCCTGCGAGCCCTGATGGTTCCTCGACAGCCATTCCATGTAGATAGGAAAGCCCCCTCCGCTCTGCGGAGGTCTCCTGTGGGGGGTGGGGCCTGAGCAGATGCTCCTGCAGCCCTTTGGCCGCTGTGCCGCTGCTTTGCTCACCGCACGTCGGCCAAACCCCGGGCCATGTGCTTGGCGCTCAGGAGTTCCCGCAGCATGTCAAACCTCGGACTGAAGTGGGAGCGTCTTCCCCAGGAGCTTCTGTGATCAGTTGTTCCGAATTAAATTAATACATATGAACAAGAACACGATCCAAAATTTATTTAGTTTTATTTATTTATTTATTAAAACATTTCTA